GAATGACGGACACATTACAATTCGAAAATTAATAGTTCTTTTCAATATTAGGAACGACAATATGGTAATGATCATCCCACGCGAAATACATGATTTCACGTCAGCTATCATCCTGAGCGTAGGCGGAGTCCTAGGTCGTTCGGGACGAATCCATAACGCTACTGCTACGCGGCAAGTGGTAACTTGATCCCTACTAATATTATAAACGTGATTGTAAGTTTGTTTGTTACGTCCAAAACTACTGAACCGATTTTTCGCGTTTCATTTTACTTTTAAAGTTCAGACCTATCGAAAGTTTACAGCATGTGCGGCCAATGCAGTTTGTGCAGACCAGCATCATCCAACTATCATGGTCAGATATCCGCAATAGTCATATTGGTAAGTTGTCTCTCATGGTCACTTAAGTGACCATCTGCCGAGGTCAAGAAGTTATTGACCTAAGTGGAATATTAACGAACGATGGACGAGCTCATGCTACGCAAAAACAATTGAAATACTTATACAGTTCCCACAATTGAGAGGATTGGCAAAAATAACCCAAACGAGGCCTGGGAAGAAAGCGTACAGGCAAGGATATCAAGTACAAATAAGCGGTAGATATGACAGTAGCGCACCGAAACTGAGACAGTTAAATGACGCCAATTGGTGTAATTACATCACAAGTCCGCCATCTCTTACCGTATCTTCATTACATTCTACATTAAATGTCACATAATGTAAAGCGGAAAAATTTTTAAACGCCGCGGACTATGGACGTGAGTCATATTTTTTAAAACATCATTGCATACACCTATATCGAGTGGTCTGTACCGACTAAAAAATTTACTAACACAATCTATCAAAGTACGACAATTGCAAGACAAGTACTATTAATTTCCAACCGCGCTACCCGCTACCGCTTATGACTCGGCCACGCTAAAAATAAACGCCCCGGGGCGGCTCGTGTTCGCGGAGGCCGATTTCGATTGTTACATATTTCATTAAAAATATAATATACTGCTTTGAGATCGACTCGATGTAACGGTGGTGTGGCACCAGACGTGGCCATAAACAAAGATAGATTGCGAAACGTAATGGAGTCGACCGAGCTAGCGAATGGATAGGGCGCCACGGTGGGTCTGGCCGGAGCGGTATTGCCGGCTGGCGTGGCGCCAACATTAAGACCGCTTCTTACTCAGTAATAGGAATGGTTAAGATTCGCAAGCAATATGTTTCTTCTACGGCAGCTTGGTGGAAGATGAGGTCTAGGTTATGGAGACAAGAGACAACAACCGTGATAGCTCAGTGTCCGGGCGCTCGCTTTATTCAATATACTCGAGCAAGGTGAGTTCGATCCCAGGTGCCGGCACCAATGAAATTGTTAATTAAAGTGCTGATTTTATCGCGCTTTAAGTGCTGGCGTTTTCAACGCTGAAGGAAAACATCGTAAGGAAACCTGCATATTTTCTAAATAATAAAAAAAATTGTACTAAGCTTTATTCTAAACAACAATATCAGTAACTAAAGAAATTTGTTTATTTCATTGTAATCATTTTATTCATTTTTCTGTACTTCAAGCTAACATTATCGTCGATTAACATGAACAAACAACAGTAAAAATCTTTCGTTTAAACATGTGTAGAATTTTAGTTTGAAATTACCACATAATTTAATATGTTGATCAAGCATAAGGAAAAATCCTTTAAATATGTCTAGTTGACCGTCAACGCACGATTATTATATTACCATTACCAAATGTGAGTTATTCAGATATCCGCTATACGGAAAATTGAATATAACATAGAGTCGCCTAACCAATTGAAGTAACTAATATCGATTTATGTCCTAGCTTATAGACAGATTAAAACTATATTCTAATACATTCTAAAGTTCTTACGTCCTTTGTGGGATATTCAGCGTGTCTTTACCACCGCGACAATAAATGAGCACACGTGTAATGCTACTTGCCAATAATCATAAAAAAATATTAACGTTAAAAAAATCCATAATTAAAAAAAATATATTATTCGAACAAACTAATTAAATAAAAAAGAAAAAAATTTGTAACATACCTATACAACTACATCTGACTGATTCATACAATCAGAGACTCTCATTCGTTGCTACAGCGGCGCATTACAAGCCTCTCCTTCTAACAGTATGTTTTGTCTCTTTTAAATTCATTCAACCCATTCGTATGCTTTGTGACCTTTACAAATGAACTTTACATTAAAGTTTTATTACGTATAAGGGTGTTCTAAAATTCTTTGTTTTGGAAAATTTGATTACTCGTTAAATATTGATGTTTAAAGAATGTAAATCTTTAATACAATTTTAAAAACTTATCCTCTATATGTGTGTTCATTTATTGTCGCGATGGTAAAGACACGCTGTGTAATAAGAGAGAGAAATAAAACCCTGCCCAGTTACAATAATCAGTAACACAATAGGTTGGTACCTATTGTTTCTGATTAGTAGCAATTCCATCCACACCACCTCCAGCGTTCCACAACAGCGCGGAGGCATTTTCTGCCTCGTACAACCACTCTGTGGAACCAGCTCTCACTGACGGACTTTCCGAACTGTCACGACCTGGGCGTCTTCAAGAAGAGAGCCTACTCTTTCTTGAAAGACCTGCAACCCATTTGCAAGCCCAACGGTGTTGCCAGACGTTCGTGGGCGGCGGTTAGCGATGAGGCGTATATACTGGAACAGGTATAAATACCCAGTATGAACATACCAGTACGCACACCGGGTATGTACGGCAGAGGCCCGTTCCATACCCGATAGGTATGGCTGGGTATGGCCGCCTCGTCCGACGGTGGCGGTATATAACACTCGCGACAACCCGCCGGCCGAATAGGTACGAAGTTCCCCGAACGCTTACGGCGGCTCTTGCCGATCATGCCCGAATTGAAACGTATGATTTTAAAGACGCATTTTATACCAAATAATTCCTTGAGATAAATTTATTCTTTGTTTCTATGATCATAAGTTAAATAAATAATTGCGTAATAAGGTTAAACAGTAATATTTATTTTGAATTCCTTTTTTTTTGATAATAGGGTTCTTTACGTTAGTAAAGATGGAGCTTATTTTAGACTGATTAAATCTCAATTTAAAAAAAAACTGATCACATCTGAAAACATCTAAATTTTCCAATTCCAACCAAAGAAAGGTTCAATTCAATACCGGGTCTCCAAAAGGAGGCCTGAACATAACTAATACCTATAGGTATTTTGATACTGGGTTTTAGCACCGGGTATACGGCGATACCCGTACCTCTGAGGCCGGGTATAGAATTTTGCAGGTATATCTCATGCCTAGCGGCGGTGATCACTTTCCATCAGATGAGTTTGACAACACGCGAGTTATATATTTGTCAATGGGGGCAGAGATCACTGAAAATAAGCTATGAAGTGCAGTTGCGGATGAGACTAAAACATGTAAATTTTAAAACTTTTATAGTGCTAATCTCCGCACTTAAGATTAAACATTAAAATTTGTAGAAAAAGTACGAAAAGATTGTCGCCGCTGCGGGAATAGAATCATTCGCGGCCTGACGCTCTAGCCACTAAGTTAAACGGCTCCGCGATTGCCACACCGACGAAAATCTTAACGTCTGTATCTACATTGTTTTTTAGCATTTGAAGCAATGCTTGCGCCAAGCGGCGCCACTCTTTTCGTACTTTTTTCGTCAAATTTCAAAAAACATGTAGTTTTTTTAGCGCCTTCGATAGAGGACGTTGATTCGTAAATAAATCTCGACCGGGACGTAAATCTCACGTAAATGTATACATTAATTTGACACGTTGTTTTTACGTCCGTGCAAGGTCGCTCGCCGCTTACTTATTAAGCATTAAATTGTTGAATTACGTCATTCCTTTTTTTTCTCTATTTAGATAGATGGCAGAGCCATATTTAGTGTTTATGCGCTCGCTAATAAAACCACACAATTAACTTTGTGACTGTATGAACAGTCGTTTTCTTTTTTAGTTAAACGAATCGAGAAGATAGAGCGTAGTTTAAAATACAACAAAAACAGAGTAGATAAGGTTTTCGAGCTGTGAGGATATGACGATATGCTTAGCTCAGTGGCAAGAGCATCCGGATTCGGAAACTGGAAGGGGCAGGTTCGAATCCTGGCATAGAAGAAAGAAAAAAAAATATTTCGACAATTTATCTAGAAATTTTAACTATTTAACGGTTTAATTCAATTTGAACTATTCGAATAGTCAATAGAAAATAGTTAGTAACTAAATTTAAAAAAAAATCTTTGACTAAAGAATACTGTTACTATTTTGTAACATAAATATATAAAAACAACATATCATTGATACTATCGTAAACTATAATACCCGTAGCTAAGATATTACCAGGTAGGTGCTTTTGCCTCCGCTGTTCTGTTTTAAAAAAAAGTAATTTGCGTAGGTTAATTTCTCAGATTTTGTTGTGGCGAATCAATGACGCTAAGTTTCATTTATAGCACTTGTGATTTTCATCGTGAAAACAACTCGCAAACTGCGTGCCAGTATCAGGTGAGGTGTCACAAAAGAGAAATGGCGGAATTATGGAGGGCAATTTTTTGTGCACACCGAACCCAAAACAGCTCGCAACGACAGTTGGCCAGTTTAACGATTGAGCCATCTGCCTCGTTAAATATCGATATCGTAAAGATACACTGTGCTTTTATTGTAATTATTGACACGCTTTAAACTGTGGTTTAGTAATTTGTACTGCTAGACATTCTAGTTGTGTTATGTTTCAAGATATCTAGTAATCGTAACAATTTTGTGATAAAACATATAACATAAAATGATAAAATTCATGACAAAATGTCAGCAAACTGTTTACAATATGTTGTCACGATCAAAACACTTTTTTTTCGAATGCGCTAATATTATTTGGTGAATAACAGCTGACATGGGCAAAGCGTCGTAATGCGTTTGTGTCGCGATCTGGCGATAAATCACAGAGCACTCCGGGCCGTGGCGGGGCAGTGAAAGCGGGGGGTGGGGGGTATGGAGACAAGAGGGGGTGGGCAGGTGCATAACAGCACCTGCTCTGATGAAGCGGCAGATGCATTTGCTCAGGACACCACGCGCCGCTCAAATCTGATGTGTCGCGCGGTTGCCAAGGTATTGACATCGGCGCCGCGGGTTGTAGGTTCGATTCCCGCACGGGACTACTGTTTGCGTGACCCAAACATGATTGTGTCGGAAGTGGGTGTTTGGCCACGTGAAATTTATGCATGCAAAACCTCCTTACGACACATCATAATGGTATCCGTATCCTACAAGGGGCAATGTGTTTTTTAAAAAGAAGAAACAACCGGTGGACGGATCGACTTTGACTAGTCGACTTTTCTGCACCAGACAAACTTTCTCTACGTGATCTGGATCCTGAGCGTCCACTTTGGCGTTTACGGTTTCTGGGGAAATACCACGACCTCATGATGCATGGACATTACGTCATAAATGGGTGGACCCCAATTATCTCACTCACTGTACGAGTCAATAACATAACACTACTACTTCACGCCGGTCTTCCGCGAGGCCGTGGTACGTCCCTGCCCATTAGTGCAACAACTCCTGTCGGCCTGGTCCTACCACTGCCGAAGTTCAGACAAAAGTAAACGCGTTCTTAACACCCTGTTCGGATAACTGGTCCAGTACGAAACGAATATATAATGGTATTTTAAATAAAACATAATTATTATGGACCTCAGCACTTCAGAAAATATCAACATAATGACGGGAAAAGTAGCGTGCAAGAGGAGGTATTATATTTAAGGAAAAACAAAACAATGCTAGCTAGCAGTTCGAGTTGGAGGATAAAGACGAAAACATTAGGCGATTGCATTGAACTGTCCAATAAATAAATATTGCAATACAATTGCAAAACCGTGGTCAATGTTAACATTATTAGCAATAGACATTTGCTAAGCTTTGATGGGCCGTTTATTATTTAATAAAATTCAAAAAGTCCTTTTTCTCGTCGTCGATAAATATATTATGAGGAAAATATTTAAAATTATAAATTTACATCAATACCGCCCTCTGTTAGTGAGAGGCAGAGTTATGTGGTAATACGGTTAAAAAAAAGCGCCATCTAGCGATAAGAGGAAGTTGGAAAGAAAACTTTTCAATTCAAAGTATACTCAACAGATGGCGCTGAGACAATTTCAAAAACATTTAAATTTAATATAATAATGAATGAAAAGTAATGTTACAAAAATTGAAATAAATTTCCAAAACTGTTGGAATTAACACTTACCTTAAATTAGGCTAGTGATGTACCTTAAGCAGCTGATCTTATCGACTTACCTGTAATAGAGAAAATTTCAAATTAGTACAAGAGCAGAAATATTTCTATATTGGGCTATAAGTCAGAGGTCTGGACTTCCATTCTAACCCGGGAAAGGTATTTGTACGAATTAACATTAACTGTTCCGAATCTTGGTGAAACCCTATTTTTTAAGTGAAAGGGTCGCAAGCGAGTTCACCTGATATTAGTGATACACACATGAGTTACAGATGCGTTGCCACCTTTCAATAAAGTGACCCCCGGCTACCTCACTCACGAGACGAAATGCAGAAATATAACACTTAGACTTCACGCCGGTCTTCTGTGAAACCATGGTATTTCTCCGGACAGTCCAGCCCATTAGTGCGAAGACTATTTTACGTGGACCTAACACAGTCAAAAAACCTGTGAAATGCAAAGCCCCAACACAACAAATAACACTATTAAAGACCAAAATAATCTTTACATATATACTGTTTTAAAAATATACATATACTGATTTTCTTTATATTATATGGGCAATCAGTCATCCCGTTACAGCACATTGCAAAGTAAGTCATTCAGGCTACAAACCGCCATAGAATTTCGTAAAGCAATTCTGTAAAGCCCTACGTGCCGGTAGGAGCCATTTGACACAATGCAACCGTCACTTACCGATATCCCGCCACTGGGACATAGCACGCACGCCCACCGAAATTAATGAATCAAACAACAAAAAACAATCTCACACCTAAACGTTATCTACTCTTTTCTTGACTAATATGTTTGTATAAAAGATGCACAAAATTTGTACAGTTATTATTTAAAAGCGTAAAAATCGACCGACATGGGTAAAAAGCCGCTAAACAAATTATTTAACATTGTATATACATATCTATAAATAGTTATTAAATAGACTTGTTAATATATAAGAGATGCACACTCATGAAAAATGTGCATAGTTACCCTTTGCAGGGCTCGCGATTCGACTGAGATGTTAGTCCGCTAGAAATTGCCTCCGAGGCCTGTATATTGTCATGTAGCGGAATAGGGTTGTCGACGAGACCTATTAGGACCAAGAGCAGTATATGTTTCATACATCAGAAAAATTCGGGAATAACTTGAAAAGTCGACTGGTGGAAAAATTTAAGTTTTGTTTATATTTTATCGGGGGATATTTTTTTTAATATTCTTACATTAGCCGTAGTTTCGATTATTTACAAAGTTATATGTAAAATTAATTTTAAGCGGGATTTAGAAATAAAATGTAAAGTTAAAAACGACAGCGTTCGAAAGTCCTTTTGACTTTTTAACGTAGTTATTGATGCATTCTATATATTATGTGTCGGTTTGCAAGAGTTATTTATATAAGAAAATTCTGATATTTAGTTTATCCTTATGTTTTAGTCAAAAGTCAAAAAATAAAATATGGACACAATTTTCGCCAGCACTTTGTTGCAAAATTATTTCGCAGCAATAATTTTAAGAACGTATTTGTGTACGCATTTCAACTGTTCAAGGAAAGGTGCCAGCCCTGGACGATTCCCGCCCGTCCTCGACCTCACAAAAGCGTCGGAGTAAGAGAAATAGATGAAGCCCTCTCCACTGGAGACACTCTCCTACCACAGGAACTCGACTGTGGTTTTTATGGTTAGGAAAGAAGAAAAGAGTTAAAGACTAAACGTTAATTTTTTGAGGTAAACAAAAATATATTTTAAATTTTTATAAGTATGTTAACTTAAATTAATTTGAAACGACCCAACTTTGCTTGATCCTAACTTCGGTATATGAACCGTCATCTGTTGGGCGTGTAAGGAAGCCCAAAGTAGCAATATAAATAATGTCATTTTGAAATTAAACACTGTCATTTAAATTTAAATGCGTCAGACAGGCAGGGCATTTTTTTGTGTCATAGTCATTTAAATGTGAAAATTTCTCACGCACACATTTCACGCCGTCGATTGCTTCGAGTCCAGTTCGTGGGAGAGGCGAGTTCGTGAACAGATCGTAGTGGAACCTATGTTGGTAAGACAATGGTGGACCCCGGACCGCCACCAAGCTCACAATGGGCTTAATTAAAAACCCATCGGGTGAACGGAGTCGCCGTGGACTAAACATAGGAACGCTCCCATTCTCCTCGACAATCTGAACAACGATGCAATCGTAAACCGTACCCAGTGATAGATAATTGCGGCGCGTATAACATGCGATAAGCGATGACGCATCGTCCATTTCGTGACACATTTATAATAAAGGATAAAATATTTCTGGACAATTATATTTTTACACAACGTTACATGGACACCAACTAAGTAAAGCTTATACTCGGTAAATGAAAAACACTTTTCTTTTGCAAATAAATAGAGTAATAGAGTAGTATAACCCAAACACTAGAGAAACATTACGTTCATCAGATATTTTTTTTAAAAGTAGGGTTGGAGCCCACGCCCTCTGGCGTAGGAGACAGGTTCAATATTCACTATGTAATCATTAAGGGGGTATTCACATTTATTTATTTAAAAAAAATTGCATTTGCACCACTGAGGCACAGTGAACCACGGCAATTCGTGTTGTACCTATATTGTATCCTATACTAAACTAGATCTCTCAGACATTTATCATACAAATATTTTTCCTGTATGGGATTAGAGCCCGTCATAAATAGCCGCAAACTTTACAATCACACTAAACAGTAAAATAACATCCTATTTATGTCCCACGGCTAAAACGATAACGCTTTAATAAAATAGAGATGCCCACGGCTGGGCAAAGGCTCTATTTTATCAGAGTGGGCATAGTGCACCGCGATCCCAATGCGCATTGGCAGACTTCACATATCTCCGAGGTATTGTCATTACTTCGAAAATATGCAGATATTCTCACGATGTTTTCCTTCGCCGGTGAGCACGTGATAAGTTGCACAATTATAATGGCAATCAACAATTTCGTTGGTGGTTCGCGCACCGGGTTTTGAACTCAGGTCGATCTAGTTAGTATATTGAATTAAAAGCGAACACTCGGACACTACTGAGCTATCACGGCCCCTAATCTCTGTTTCTCGTGTCTCTGTGTCATGGCCCATTTATCTGTAGGTCAAACAAATGTTTTTTTCCCCAATGGGAATAGAAGCCACGATCGAAATCTGAAGACCTTTGTTTTCATAGTTGTCCTAAGTACGAAACTGGTTTTTTTTTTTTTTTTTTTTTCAATATTTTAGGACACATTTTTTACACAACGTTTTCTAGTCCCAAACTAAGCAACGCTTGTATTATGGGTATTAGAAAACTGATAGAAATACTTAAACGTACTTTTCTTTTGTAAATAAATACACATTATACATATATAAACACCCAGACACTAGAAAAACACTATGCTCATCACACCATAATTTTCCAGTAGTGGGGATCGAACCCACACCCTCTGGCGCAGAAGGCAGGTACACTATCGATTACGCCATCCGGGTCGTCATACATACAATTGATTGAGGGTTGTACACCCGAAACAGATTTAGTAAGACCAGAGGGAATGAACAACCCTTCGTAAGGCGTAGCTTCACAGAGCTCAGTCTCTGGTTCGATCCCAATATCAGAATATTTAATGCAATAGAGCAGTCAATCGTTCAATACTATACGGAATGAAGAGATGTGTAAATATAGTTTTTGTTATTGTCCCAATAGAAAGGTATAAATGTGATATTTTCTGTAAATGAATAGCGGCTGTGTCATTACAGTTAAATATTTTTCCAAGATCTCTGAAGTCGTAAACACCTAACACGTATGTATATAATAAATTATATCTAAGCAGAATCTATAAGTTGTTCACTGAAGAAAAGCCAATTTATGAACAATATAATAAAAGTTGTAAATCAAATAGAGTTATTATCCTATTACTCACGGAAACGAAATGTTTACAAATGAAGTCTTAAAAATGCGGAAATGGAATGAAGTATTATACTTTTTCCAAGCAACAATATAAAACATAAAGTTAAACCGAAACTAAATCTAATATAAATGTTTAAAAAAATCACAAGTACATCATTATAGATGTAAGAACAAAGAAAACAAAATAGGACAACGTTAAGAGGAAAGGCGAAAGACTGTTTTAGATAGAGCTTTAAATCTTCGTCGCCTTTATTCGAACTAAAGCGTAAAAATAATTGCGACAAGCGCAAGGATTTTTTTAACCATAGAGAGAGGTTCTTCCGCGGCCCACAGGAAATAATCTCTCCGTAAACCTACTATAGGTTACGAATTAAAATTATTGTCAATACTTCTAAGTCGACCGGCGGGTAGATGACATGTTTGGGTCGATTTTACAAACTGCTGTATAACATAATCCAGCGTTATTAGATATTAGCGTAGGGGCATTTAAAATATAATTTTGAACAATAGTTAACTTTTAACTTGTAACTTTATAACTTGTAACTAAGACCAGCGGTTGAGTCTTAACACTTTCGATCGGTAAGTTGCAAGTTCGAATGAGTGTAGCAACGCGTCAGCGTTTAAAGACTAGTAAGACATTTTATCGGATTTAGTGTAATAGAAAATCCTCACGATTTCTTCCTCCACCGCTGAGCAGGTAATCACCCAGCACTAAAAATTGCAATTAATGTTGGCGCTGGCAACACTGTATACCGGATGTGACGTTATCTACTTGATTCAAGGGACACATGGTCGCATGGAGCAGCGGTCACTTGGATTTTGGCTGCGGTCCCGGACAGTGTTATAACCAATAGTTCTGCTGGTTGTTATAATAATTGATAATATTCAAGTTCAGTAATAGTTAAAATATTAGGATCAAGGTAAAAACGTTAGAATTCTTATATTAACAATGACATCGATGCTGGCACCTAGATTTGAACTGTGGTTGCTCGAGTATATTGTGTTAAAAGCGAGCGCCCGGACACTGAGCTATCACGGCTCTACCAACGTTTGTGCTACTACCATGACACAAAATCTACAGTGACATTGGTGCTGCGATGCCGCGGGCAGCGGCTTTGTTTCATAAAACAAAACCTAGTCTATGTAATTTTAGTTACGTCCAGTGCTTCCCCCCCCCCCCCCCCTCCCCCCATTCACTTACGGACCACAAGTTCACGTAGCGCCGTAGCGTTCAACGAAGATAACATCGCAGGCAACTCGCTCACGAACGGGACGCGCACTAAATCTACAATCAATCTACAATTTTTTTTGACAACAGGACCTAAAAATATATGTATCGACATATCGGTAATCTCTCTTCGATATATCGAGACCTATATTGATATTTTCATAAATATCGATATTTCTTCACTTTCAGCGTACTTAACTAAATTTATTGAAAGCACCGCAGCGCCCCGTTCCATCGCCAGACGTCAAACGGAGGAGTTGTTTGTTTACTCTGAGGCGCCGAGTGGCATTCCTCGGTCCATTCAGCAGATCGCTTCGCTTCGCACAGCATCTCGCCCGTGGGCACGGTTTACGAAACGCACAGCGTTGGACGTCTCATCTACAACTATTTCCATCGCGATCGGGTGAACGTAGGCCGGTGACGTCAGAGCGCACGCACGCACCCAAGCAACGGACCGTGTTTATGTCGACCGTGAAGATTTTGTTTTATTTTCGAGGCTGTAAAACGGAATGTGGTAGCGGTGATATCGAAAAACGAGTACAGGCCTCGCGGCCACTGTAGCGGTCATCTGCGAAACGGAAGCGGAAAAGCGCGTGGATTCTATAATTGTCGAATCAGAATGGACTTCAACTTGCTTGGTCAAAATGCAATTAGTAGTTGTTAAGTGACCTCTGGCGTTAGAAGAAACCGCTTTATTAGAAATCTTGTGAAAGAAATCCACAAAATTACTCAATGAAGTATTGGTAGGCCAGATAGAAGAGGTAAGTTTAAAACCAAATAATGTAAATATCATAAACGCACCCACAAAATCTACGAATCTTATTGTGAACTATTATTAGTTTTTTTTTTCTTTTTTATGGAGAAAAGGGGCAAACGAGCAGGAAAGTACTAGTAGAAGTAGTGAAACTGATATTTTTTTTAAACATGGCCCTTACTGTAGTATAACATTATTCTGTGTCGTAAGGACGTTGTACAAACTTAAATTTCTCGTGGACAAATACCCAAACACCAAACAACAAATTGTAAGATCCGAAACGATTATCTGTGGATCACACAAATAGTTGTCCCGTGTGAGACTCGAACCCACGCCAACTCCGCGACGGCGCAACGCAGTCATCTAATAATGGATCTTAACTTGAAAGACGATGGCCCAAATTTAGCCTCGGTCTTATGGCTGCGGTTAAATTTGGGCCATCCTGTTTATACCGCCAGGTTTATATCTGATCCTGTGATTATCCAATACACCCTTTTGCGTAACTTGCACAATATTTATCGATCCACGTGGTCACGGGGCAGTTTCCATTATTGCTCTTGGCACAGATGGCGGCGTCTCCATCTGGCTCTGGACGTCGCGACCTTCGTCGGAATGTTTACGGCACCACCTGCTTTTCGTTGAGCACTGCACCGTAACGATATGTTGGCAGCCAGCTCGAGCATGGAAACATACCTAGGATTTAATGCATGTCTTATCTACTCCCACGCTCTAATTGCATTGAGTCGCGGAAGTGTGCGAAAGCGTTCCCGTGGCCATGCCGATATGCGCCTAGGTGGAACAACGTGGGGGTTTTTGTCGGTGCGACTCCGACATAAACCGCTCTTGCCCCGGGAGGGCGGGTATGCGTAGGCTTTTCTCCCACGCAAGCAAAAAAGGGTTTGGAGACGTAAGGCCGAGAGGTAATGTAATTAGAGGTAGGCAGGATTTGCATCTAGCCCATGGGGATAATGGTGATCTATTGATTGAGTTAGGAAGAGTACGGTCGTTTGCTTGAAGAAGAAACGTTTATTCACGGTCTAGAAACAAATGAATACATACAAAACTTAAAAATAATAATGTAACTACACAGAAACTGTAAATAAATGTAAACATAAAATTAGCAAACAAAATAACAACAACATGTGACTAGTTCTGATCCCGACACCGGTTTTCAGTCCGGCCCGCACTTCGAGGCAACTCGGACGGCTGCGACAGTGACCTGCTGTGACCTGTGACAGTGGCTGCTTTTTTTTTTTTATTTAGAACTGGCCAGCACTTGACTGCCACCCCACCTGATGGTAAGTGGCGATGCAGCCTTTGATGGTAAGCGCGCTAGCTCAGTAAAAACCTATTCACTCTTGCCTTGAAGACGCCTACGTTGTAATCGGACGGAAAGACGGACGCCGGCAGGTTGTTCCATTCCTTAGCTGTACGGATGATGAATGATGAGGCAAATCGCTTTGTTCTTGTTTTGGGAACGTCGACAGCATAAGGGTGGAGCCTCGCCGAACGCCTAGTTGTCCGATGATGGAAAGGAGCAGGAGGAATCAAATTATGCAACTCCAACGCACACTCTCCAAAATGCATCCTGTAGAAGACCGAGAGGCTGGCTACTCTGCGCCTGTGCTCAAGGCTAGTGAGGTTGGTAGTACGTGTTTGTTTATCTTTGCCATAACCGCTCAGCCATCCGTAATATTTATATTTATCTTCAAAATAGACTATAAGCGCTCACATTTAAGAAGACAAACGATTTTAAATTTAATTATTATGTAAATGATGCCTTATACAGAGACAAAATATAAAAACAACTAAGATATTATTAAATAAACCTAACCTAAATCAAAGTTAAAGCCGAATATGGAGGTATTCGGCTTTAACTTTGATTTTAGCTTACTTTTATTTGGCTTTAGCTTTAATTCCCGCAGTTTGGAAACTTCTCCAGAGTCTGAGGTCAGACTGAGGTCTGCGACTCACCTCAACATTCAATATTTTACTTAAAATGACATAGTTAGTCAAATTATTGAAAGTTTAAGAATTCAATAGTAACATTAAAATATGTAGAAAAAAGGGCGAAAAGTTTTTAGCTGCTGCGAGAATCGTAAAGCTAAATAGCTGATTGCCACACCGAAGAAATTATCAAAGTCTTTCATCTAAGTTGCTTCCTCGCATTTCAAGCAATCCTTGGCACATCGATTGCTGCATCTTAAGTGCAGAGATTAGGACTGTAAAGTCAAAAAAAAATCAAATAACATAGTGATCAACCGGCAGAACCGTATGCGTTTCATCACTTAAGGTCTGGTCGGAGTGGACGGCTTGCGTCGTCACCACTAGTAGTTTACCTGACTGCAGCTTGTCCGCAGTAAGGCTGCGCAGGAGCCGCTTGATGCTCCGTCGACGGCGCACGCCGCACACCTCCTCCGAGCTCATGGCCCCGCGCCGCCCATAGCTGGCGGTCCACCACACCCCAGCGGACACTCCCACTTCGCACTGTCCGCGAACACTTTCACCGCTGACGAATTGGCCGATACGGTTGCAATATCCCACCTAAGCACTCGTGATGATGACGGTATACCGCGATATTCAGGGCAGTGACAAATCCCAATCACATTCGTATGGGAGGGAAAGGGATAGATAACACAAACACTGCACTATCGTAATCACTCATAACACAGAGACCGTATATCGGTCTATGAGTTTCGCTGGGAAATTTCCTGAAATCGATCTCTGACGCCCGACCGACTCTTCAGGAGTTGTAACGTGATGACTTCTCAGCTATGTCCCGGGATAAATTATAAGAAATGGCTTATAGCATTGTGGTTTACAATTGCAGTAGCGAATCGATTCAATATCGAGAGTTACGAAATAAATTCACACTGATGGCAGCTTTATGCAAAATTAGAACATCGTAAGACACTGCATGGCGGCTAGCTAGCACTATACGGTTTTCTTCCTCTGAAAAAAAAACCTAACCGTTTCGGTTTGCACTTACGTAGTTACGCGCATAGTTGGCATTTCACAGGTCATTACCATGGTTGGGTATAAATGGTTACGTACCCGAAAAACAAAGAGATGACTCGAAACTAAATTTAGAAAAAGACGCACTCTTTTCACGGTTGCAGGAGTCGAAAAGAGGTCAATAGAATAGAAGATAGTATAGATAATGTTCGATTTGTTTTCGGTACGTAAATTCCAAATGCCTACTAGTCCCTACTTAATCCTAACTAACATTATATACGCAAAAGTTTGTATGTATGGATGGATGTTTGTTACTCTTTCACGCAAACACCACTGGAAGGATTCTAATGAAACTTTACAATAATATAGCTTATACATCAGAATAACACGTAGGCTATAATTTATATACATATTTTTATTCATATATATCGGTCTTTCTGTCTAAATTTTACGCTTTCAGCCTATTCCACGCAGACATAGTCGCGGGCAGCAGCTAGTAATATTATAAGTGTGAATGTAAGTTTCTTTGTCACGCTTTCATGCCAAAATTACTCAACCGGTTATCATGAAACTGTACACATATTCTTAGAGGTATTAAAAAAGAATCTTTTTATTAAAAAATATTAAAACTAAAAGGGATATTTATTTCAGGGCTGCAACGCGAACGAAAAGCGTTGTATCATGACGCATATTTCCTGAACCACGACCATGAGATGACCTTTCGCTCAGATTATATATTCTTCACTGATCTCGCAACCACTTTCCACGCTTCTTTACATTCACGCTTGCCCTCGCTCTACTATCGGTTACATACACCATTAGACGCCTTTCATCGACGTGTCCCTAAACAATCAAATCACTTCGCCTAACAACTTTTCTACACGCTTTAGAACCATATGCTGTTTCTCCTAGACATTTTTTAAATAATTCTATTCACTTGATTTAACCATTTGTATGTCTCTGATTAATTTGTAACTCTCTCCATTACAGCAATCTCAATTACAAAGACATGTTTACCTATAAATTAACCTGTACAAGGAATTAATACTGCTAGCAATCTAGCAGCTCCGATCAATAAAATAAGAGTAAATACCAATACCTATATATAAGTCCACAGCACATCGGCGGCAAATGAAATTATGCCCACCCCTTAGGGTTGTCACTTGAAAGTTGATATTCGATAAAGTGAAATTATCTGTTCAAATTGAATTTAATCGAATGAAACTCATTTTTCGGAAGGAAATTATTTTGGTTTACCCGTAGTGTGATCTAACATATAATAACCTAACCTAATTTAATAAATCCGTACTAATAATATAAATGCAAAGTTACTTTCGCATACTGTCTGTCTGTCTCGCTTTCACGCCAAAACTACTGAACCGATTTAAATGTAATTTGGTACACTGATAGTCTAGAACCTGAGAAATGACATAGGCTATTTTTTAATTGCAATTTTTTTAAGAAAGATATTTATTTAAGGGCTTCAACGCGAGCGAAGCCGGGCGGGCGACGCGGGCGAAAAGCTAGTTTGTTTATATGCAATCCTAAATATATCTATTCTATTCAATTGGATTAAATAAACTATAGTTTCTTTCATAATCTGAGTGCGTATTCGTAGAGATGTTATAGAGTCAGCAATTCCGACGCGTGACAACCCAATCCGTTTCAAATATCAATCACGCGCGTTGCGGGGGCTGATCCCTCGTCCGCCAGAGGGCCGGTGGCCAATGCGGCATCAACCCTCCAAGGATTACAATCGGAATGGACTCACGAAAGGATCCGAGTATACATCGAGCAACGCATTAAAACTGCAAGGCCGACTAATCTTTGCAATCAAATAAAATATCAGCTTTTAAACTTGACGTCTGCAAATCAAATACAAAAAAACACCTCGTGTAGGTAACATTTGGAGATGTTAGCAGACGTCAAAAGTTTAACGATGACTGTATAAGATTTACGAAAATAATAAAAAACATTTGAATTCACCTTTTTACGAACAAAAATCATCGCACCTTACATGTTTCATCAAAGACAGGGGTAGGTTATTTTTTATTTAAAAAACACTTAAGCTATCCTGCTGAAAACATCATTGAAACTCGATAACGAAATCGATAGAGACCATACATTCCCTGATTCAGCCGGTTGTAAAGCGCTTTCTCGCCCCGAACCTCCCTTAAACGCCTACGGGGGTCGACTGGTCAGCATACCACCCGCGGGGGCAATCTGTCGTGTGATCAAAGCGCTCGCACAAATCAGAGGCTGCGCACATCCCGTGCTGAGCCGATAAAACTGATTGGAATTTGGTTTTAACCATATCACTACATAGTATAAAACAAAGTCAGCTGTCAGTCTGTCCATATGTATGCTTAGATCTCTACGCAACGGATCTTGATGTGATTTTTTTAACTAGATACAGTTATTCAAGAGAAAGGTTATATGTATATAAGGTTATACATTGCACCCGTGCGAAGCCGGGGCGGGTCGCTAGTTCCTTCGGCGCTTCCGTTTATATTTGAATCGATGGTGCTTTCGAGCTAGAATCTAACAGTTTCGAATATCACGCGTTCACGAAAGTCGCTACGAGTGGGCTGTTTTCATTTCGAAGAGATTTAGTGATGAAGACATAGTTGTAATGCTTTTATGCGAATGGCATAGGCTCGACCGGAGATCGCGTGGAGTTGAAGCCGCAGATGTGCACAAGCTTGTTAAAGCCTCTCTTTTTATTTTTAAATACCTAATGACATGCATGTCACTGCAAGACCCTTCTTACGTAACGTGTGTTTAGTTTAAAGTGCTCCTTAAATCAAGTATTATTGTGACTACGTATGAGTTCGCCTTACTACTAGAATTGACAAACATTAAAATTTTTATTTAAAGGTGGCAACGTATTTGGGGGTGTTGCAAATCCCATTCAAATGGCGGTTATCACTTAACATCAGGTGAACCGCCAGCTCGTTTTCGTTTGCCAATTTCTCACATTAAACAAAATCTACTCGATTTAGGCCCTTAGGGGCCTTCAACCGGCTTCTCCACTCACTCTATCCATGCATTCTTCGCAGCAGCCTTTATCCTTTTGTACGTGTCAAAACCACAGAAGCCTTAGTTAAAACTTGTTTTCAAAAAGATTATTTTCGCCTCAGTAAAAATTTATCATTTCCTTTAGTTAATTCTATAATAAATAATACTAATATTGTTTCGCAGGATGCGCAGAAGTTGGGACTGGTTGATTTTTTCATCAGCGTTTCTTTGGATGGCTTTTATATCGTTTAAACTTATTAATAATAAACACTTTATACTCGTACAATGATTTATTTAAAATACACGTTTACTTTCAAATAGTTTGAACTATTTGCGAAATGATTTTTCTCGATTATACAACACCATTCAGTTTGCTAGTCTAACTAGAGCTAGACGAGTTACCGGCAGCTCGGTTTAAGTAGCTAACATAAACCTGGCTGCGGTCATACAAACACATAAAACATAAAAACAGGCCAAGTGCGAGTCAGATTCCCGCACGAAAATGAATGCATACTGAAAGTTTATCAAGTAATAAGCTTTGATGATTATTGAAATCAATATTAGATTATTCAAGTCAAAGACTAAAACCGCATACTTATATGTCAAAGATATATGAAAATAACCTAAAAATGTCTAACGGTAATGCTTGTACTGCAAGAAACGCCACAAACTGTACCTTTACGAAGAGACGTTTTAAATTCCTCGCTGAAAATAATCTGCTGTGTGTAAGGGAAAAGCTAAACGGTTCGGAAACTACCGAACGAGGTCTTAACACCTGAGCGAGCCGACTCGCCCGTTCTACGTTGGCTCCCGCTAGGGTTGACGAACCTGGCGGTTGCTAAAAAAACACGCGGATAAAACGGGAATCCGCACGAGCGGCAACCCTGGGTCACTCGGATGGGTGACCGTTTCTCGGTCGGCGGCCCTTGGGCGTCTAATAGGGCGTAAGGTCCCGCGCGTCGATTATTTTGGATGATATTAAAAGGTACCGTCGCGCGTGACAGTGCACACACTTTCCCAATTTTAAAAGTTTTAAATTTTGGTACCTACGATTTAAAGTATCAATAACTTCCATAATAAGCATATTACATTTATTTAATTGGATTAACCAGCGGTTGAGTTTACTTAAGTATAATCTCTACCATATCTACTCTCCTCTCCACCTGCTAACTGCTAAGGTAATGTTTATTGAATCAGTGTACCATACGTGGAGGGGGGGGGGGGGGTCTCGGGCTACAAAGCTTCAATTATTTTCCTCGACGCAAATAGACGCTCGCGTTCTTATGAAACGTCGAATTTTACACAAATAATTACAACATAAGTTCGTAAGTTACCATTAGTAAATTTACTATACTCATATTCTGTTGTTGCACAAATGGGCAGGCTCGTACCACGGCCTCACAGAAGACCGGCGTGGAAGTATCATACTTACGCGTTTCGTCTCATAAGGCGCGCTTTTATAAGAGTTGTCAACACATCTAAAAAGCCCTCAGATTTTGTAAATATTCATTGGCGACGGTATTAATTTAATATCAGGTGAACCGCATGCTCGCTTGATCTCTTTTCACATAAAAAAACGCTTTCAGTTGAGTTTGCTCAAAGCCCAAAAATCTTACCACAATAATATTCTTGAAAATAGATAACTAATGTCATAATCAATTCTATGCTTCTTTGAATTGATTGAACTGTAAACTATTTTACATCATTATTGCTGTAAAAATAACTTTGAGACTGATCGATTTAAGAACAATCAGACGAATAAAAAAATCTCCAATCCATTGCTCATTTTATAGGCGCGCCATTACATCTGTTAAGACAGTAAATTGGTATAGGCGCGCAAGAGAAAAAGAACTTTATCGCATCATCGGAGAAGAAAAATCTCATAAATTTTTACGACTACAACTTTATTGGCACCTGTGCTTTCCTGAATAGAATGCGTTCGTAACGCAACGATATAAATTCAAAAATATACTCTCTTTAAAACTCTGTCCACTCGTCGGCGCAGATGCACAACGTATTGCTTCCACGCCTGAGGTGTTGGGTTCGATTCCCACACGGGTCATGTATTTGTATGACCCATGGACAATCGTTTGGGATCTAGGTGCATATACCCAAGGAGAGCCGACGTCAGGCAGGCGACCTATGTCGTAAAATACCTAACGGATGCCACTGACAATAGCACAGACGCCCAATAACAACAATAAATATTATGACAGCAGTATGATCATGTCTATCTTAACCACATCGTCTCAAAGATATTCTGGCAGAAGACCCTGACTTCGAACTGACAGAAAGTATTTTTTTATACGTGAGAAGGGCGTAACCAAGCTGGCTTTTCGCCTGATATTAAATGATAACCGCCGCCCATTGACAACATTTACATTTCATACTTTCACACAAAAATAATTTAAACGACTAAAGAATCGGTTAAGTACTTAATACCAGCTGTAGAGAAAGTATTTTGCCTTACATCTGGTGAGTGAGGTACCTAGAGGGCCCGCAGTAAACGTAACGACGAATTCGCAACCCTTAGGTGTGTAGGTGTAGATGTCAATGTGCGACGGCAATCACTGAACATTAGGTTAACCGCCTGTTCGCTTGCCAAATTATCACATAAAAAAGCGGATTTCTCAACATCTCAAAATCAATCCGATTGACGCCTGCGGATTCGCAATCGATAAACAGACATCGACGGGGATCGATAAAATTCTATTTTATTAACGCAAACACTTCTGCCGCCGGCTGTACCGCGGGCCAGGACCAGCTGGCCGTGTGCCAGGTGAATTGATTGCTGCCCCGTTAACGGATTTTATTATGGCGTCGCCACCCGGATTCCTAGCGCGTCTAAAACTGGCTAAGGTGAGCAAAATTTCGTGTAAGACACATTAATCAGAGCGACAGTACTTGAGACAGATCCTAAAGAACAGTGTGCTGTAGCTAAGAGCTTAATTCAAGTTACATGTGAGACTCCGGTCCATCCGAGGTAGTACCAGCTCACAGAAGACCGCTGTGAAGTAGAATGTTTCGTAGTGCGGTAGCCCCGCGATTACCCCACTCTGCCCACCACTTGATTCAAAGGTTGCAACGCATTTTCAACCCTACGAATGTTGCAAATGTACATGAGTGGCAGTTACCACTTAACATCGGCTGAAACACCAGCTCGTTTGCTACATTCTCACATGCAACAAACATTCGAAAGAAAGTGCATTTTACCATCGCTTGCTTCTGGGATCCAATCACCTCGCCAAGCTTAAGATAACAATTCTGACAACGTGATGATCACTTATAAACGAGATTTAGGCTACAGACGCCCACAGCTCCTAGCCACCTCAAGCGCGGTGGATCTATAAAAGCCTCCTAAAGGCCAGCAGTATGTACTAAAGGTAACAGAACGATCCTATAAAAAAAGAGCCTTTGGCATATAGAATGAATATATTACCGTCGTGACGTTTTCAAAATAAAAAAAAATAAACAATTAAAACAACTGTATAAAACAATCACCCTTTTGCATCCGAGGGTGAGAAATTCAAATCAGTTATCAATATCAGAGCGTGCCACCGGTCCCCTAGTGTCGAACAAAATCGCGGTAGCCCATCCCCTCGCCAGTCTAGACTGCGCCCCCCACGCAAACAGTTCACGTGTGACGCTACCGTAATGGAGGCCTTTGTAGCGGCCCATAGATCAGTCGACTGGTTTTAAAAATTAACTATATCTCATCGTAGAGAGAGAGAGACGGTCCCGCAAACTAACCACCAGGGGAATTTTTTTAAGGTAAGATTTAAAAATTTTTACTCTAATACTATTTGAAAATCATTGCTGTTCTACTTAGCGATAGTACCATAGTCATTGAAATAGTAGACAGATGGTAATTATATGGTTCATGTGAGCTTGAAATAAGTCAAAATCTAAATGACAAACACTACTCACATCATCATCCGTACAGCTGAGGAATGGAACAACCTGCCGGCGTCCATCTGTCCGTAGGGTCACAAAGTTTATGTCTTCGAGGCAAGAGTTAAAGAGTTAATAGGTTGAGTAAGGGCACATAAAATAAAGGGCTGCACCACTTACCATCAGGAGGGATTGCAGTGGGATCGTGCGCTGGTCAGTTCCGAATAAGAAAAAAAATTTCAATATTTTCTGGACACGCAACAATTTTAGATGTAAAAAAAAAGAAAACTCTACTTGAATGTAGTAAAAGCATAAATAAAGTACTAGTTTACGAATAATAGTACAAGGATCATCCGGCGTCTATTTTCTTATCCGAATATAAACTGATGCTGTCTTCAATATGATTAATTGTATAGCAGTCAAGCAACAATTTTTTCTTGAAAAACATATACTAAACCTCGGACTATCGTGAATTAGTAAATGGAAAAACAAAAGCAGACGCTTGAGCTCATCTTTTTTCTTCTCCTTAACCCGATTGTTCCAGGAATACCGACTGGATGCGAAACCGATCAGCCGTCGATATTGCGTCTTCGAGCGAGCGAAATAGACGCTACAATCGCACAGCAGCCGCGGATGAGTCACGACGGGGGAACCCTGAGGACAGTGACTCATTTGGCAACGCTCCATCGTCACCTCAATGGAGCAGATCGGTTGGCGGCCCTTTGACGCCATGTTGCTTTACAAACGAGATTTTACAACTAACACCTGTTCGGCTTTACGGTACGGGGCGAGATTTCACGGTGTTTTGATGGCGCGTTAGTAATTTGATGCGCCAGATATATAGAGGCAGTCAAGGTCCGCGTCGTAAACAAGTAACAATCTTTAAGTGGGTCATGGCGAGTTTCATCAGTCTGTTGATGCATTCTTGATCTGAACCCGGCGCCACAGAGATTCCGATGGTCTAGACAATGTTTCAGACACTCACATCGAAATAGCGTTTGCTTTTCAGGCCTCATTAGACTTGCATTGATTAGACAAAATATAAACCGCAGTTAGAACAGAATTCTTCTCCGTAGACTTGCCTTTGACATCGATGACTCACCGTGGACAGTGTTTCTGCCAATCTTGAAATTCCAAACTGGACTTTGCTTGGAAAACTTTCAGAAATGGAAAATTTCAAGGGCGTGACCACACGCCAACTAGTCATCAAAACATCCGAACGTCCCATAGACGAACAGTTACAGTATATCATACAGTTTATAACGACATAGTTACGACGCGAAACATAGCGTGGTATAATTTACGAGGCGAAAATAGCGGACGCGACCGGCGGTGACTGCGCGGCCCTGGATGTCCAATGCAGTACCGCCGTGACTCATCCACCAGATCTCTGTCGTGGTAAATGTTGATCTCAACGCCGGCGTATATCTAACGAGCGACGATGGATAGATTTTTTTATGTGAAGCGTTGGCAAACGAACAAGCAGTTCAACTAATGTTAGGTATGTATTTAAAGGGTTCTAGATGCGTAGCCAACCTTTAAAAATCGGTACCGGTTACCTCACAGAACAGACGAAAAGCAAAAGTATAACACTTCCACTTCAAATTAGTCTTGTCGAAGCCAGTGATACTTTACCGTAGGAGCCCGCCCATTCGTGCCACAGAAGCAGAAGCTGTTGCAAGGCCTAAGTAAAAGAAATAGTGCCCTCTAAAATAGCGGAGATACCAAGCTTTATATGGGCGCTGTATAATAAGAAATATTGCATCGTAATTCACTACTTCTGCACGTGATATAGCTTCTGTGAATTAAAGTTTTTTCCATTACTTTGCCACAATTAATCACATCATTTAATTCATTCATTGCAGTTCTTTCGAATATTTGGTTGGCTCGGTTGATAAGCTTGGGTCGAAAGATAGATTCTTGCACTGGACAGGAATCTGTAAGACCTACAACAGATCATTTCTCCGATTGACGTGATGTTTTGTAACCTATGTGGTACTATCAATAGCTCAGCATTAGTTATCACATTTGCTCAAGTTTATCGACATTGGTTGATGAAGTAAGAATATAAATTACGCAGTTTTAATGTCTTTCTGTCACACTCCCTGATTACATCATGCAAGGGCTAAATGTAAAATAAAATCAATTTCTCTCGTACAATAATCTATCTTAAACGTTGTTCCCGTTCTAAATGCTCTTTGATTTCGTCGTGTTACTAATCCACCACGTCTGTAACGAGTTCATCAAAAGACGGTTGTCCTGTAGCTTCGTGCACGTGTACTTCATATCTATTTTTAACGATTGTTCATTGTTCTAGAAGAAAAGATTACTCATAAAGAATTAGAAATTCTACGTACATGAATATCTTATCCAGTCGTGTCGCTCAATGTCGCTTCGTGATGAATTACTCTTGGCGCTCCGCCAGTATCACATCATGCCAATATCATATCAATAACGAAGAAAACTTAATCGCAAATTTCAATGTGTAAGAAAACAATCGCATCTCCGCCTTGATGATTGGTTGGTGAATGAAATGGATATGTCGGTTTAAATAGTTATGACATTGTTTATGTAAAAACATTTTAGAATTATATTTATTCTATACGTAACTAAGAGATTTTATAATATCGATGGCTCTCTGAATTTTGGCCGTTTAGTTACTTTCTCAAAATGGCTCAAATTCTCAAGGCTCCTATAATCAGATGTTGACCAGAATTTTATGTACCATTTCTAATTTAAATAATTATAGCTGTACTACGTACATGAAAATTATCCAAAGAATTAAGCAGTTCTAATGTGTCGGGAGAGTCTAAACGTTATAATCACAAATTGATCGTTTAAGTAGTTATAACTGCCGATATTCAACGGGTTTTAACACAAGATTTCAGGGCTGGTGCGCGCACAGCTGAATTAGTAGTACTGTGGACCAAAATAGTGAATGTTTTCTGAGCTATGTCCGGCCGGAACGGCGCAGGCGGTGGCGCGGCCGTCCACTGTCCGAGGTACCGTCGGCAAAAAAAAGTTATTATCAGTTCTAACAACTGCTACATGACAGTAGGCCACGATTAACACTGAGTCTATCCAACACAAGATCTTAGATTGAAAGATCGAGTTGCTTCATCAACATATTTTGCAGCAGTGGGCCGTAATAGGCTGATGAAGACATTTTCTTGGCTTAAATTAAAAATTATAGCTTTTTATAATGTAACATGAATTGAGACGAATGCTCTCATCTTTAGCAAACTACAACAGATGATCACCTAATGCACGACGAATGATAGATATGGAATATTATGGAGGTACAACGACAGATATAACGCACCGCAGACCGGGGTAAAGTGCAAGAATTATACTTCCGCGTTTCGTCTGGTGAGTGACGTAGCCGGAGCACTCTTTATTATAAGGTGGCAATGCATTTGCCACCCAGCCGGGGTTGCATGTGTTAATGAACGGTTATCACTTAGCATCAAGTAAACCACCACCTCGTTTGCCACCACCTCACATAAAAAAAATATGTCTTTCATCTCACCATTTTCAAACACGAAATACCCGAAGTCACCATAAATATCTTCAATGAAAACAAGGCACGGGTGCAAGCCAGAAAGCATTAATTTATCGCCCCTACGAGCGAGTTACATCGAATCAACATAAAAGTCAATGGAACAAAATATTATCTCTAGGATGAGTTTAATGTACATATGGCATATTTTATCTCCAGTTATCTGCGTATGTTGTGAACAAGAAACGCGAGGAGAAAATATCTTTCTTTCGTATCTTCTTTTTGTAATATAATTATTTTTATCTCAGTATTTAATGTGAATAATTAGATAGTAGCAAGACATCTCTTATTTCTTTATTCTTACTTCCTTTTATGTAAAAAGATGGTAAGCGAGCTGGTGGTTCACCTGATGTTAAGCGATAACCGCCGACCATAGACATTTACAAACCATCTTCCGTCCCTGATCGAAACGTAAAAGTGTAACACCGCCACTTAACACCGGTCTTCTGTGAGGTCGCGGTACTTCCCCGGACGGGCCTGCCCATTCGTGCAACAACTGCTACGCTCCCCTACCACACTTAAGCACCACATCTTCTTTCTTCTTATCGTCTTTATCATTTTCTTTCGTATTTCGAGTCGTGCCTTTGCCGTCATTACACAATGAACAACTGCGCGCGGAGCACGTGGCCCTATTTATTTTCACCGTAACCCCCCCCCCCCCCCCCCCCGTCACACCGCCCATTTCAACTCAAGCTACTCGTTCATAACCAAAGACGGTGGAATTTGGGTTCAGTGAAGCAAACGCAGACTTAAATTAAAACTGAAGTATCTTTATGAAGTATCTTATTGAAACTAATTTTTACGGATTTATCGCGTTTATTTTAATTCCCGACGTTTCGAACCCTTTACAGCGTTCACGGTCACGGGACATACCGAGGTGTTGGACGTCTGATCGTCATAGTTCTCCGATTGTCATCTTTATTCAATATAGAAGCATTAAGCTTACTTAGTGATCGTCAAAATACTACTACCGGTTTGGAAAAAAGCCACTGACCTGAGAAGAACCGGCGAAAGTAACTCGGCGGGACATTTTTTTTTTGTACTAAATATTTGACTATAAAATATATTTACTATATCATATGGTCGACTTCAAAGAGTCTGGAGCGATGAATTATATCCAGAGTGTGATATCAATGATTTCAATTATCACTATTATTATAATAACCTTTAACACACAAACGTTCCTTCACAATTATTTTTCATTTAGCAACTAATAGATTACTCGGATTTTGCTGTAAAAACGTATACATTGTCCCATCATAATTACTTATTCTACGTCCAGTTGGTGGTAGAAGTAATATAAGTGTTCCTAGTATTTATATCATGCACATTACTATGTCTTGAAAATTTCTATTGATATACATAAAATTTTCAAATATGTACTGAGAAGCTAAACAACAGCTGTTGCGCATCGACGTCTCCAGATTTACAGTTGACAAAGTCCATATTAAAATAAGTCTTGTTTCAACCTTGCGTGAGATGAGGAAGATATTAAATTATTTAATTTAACACGTCTAGTATTTGTCTGCCCGCGAACCGTAGAGGTTAAAGCTGGTAAGCAACATGGATATGGAGCGATGGAATTCATTACTTTAAATGCGACTTTATTCATTTAGACCAAAAGGTATTTTATAAAAGCGAAGTATCAATCTGACGATATAGTGTTGGAGATATAGAAATATAAATACTTTTACCAAATCACCGTAGTTTCACTTTGCACAACAATAACACTGGTATAATTACTTATTTTCACTTTTAGATCACTAGAGACACACAAACACAATTCTAACGATTTAATCTGCGATACCGATTGGGCAGCACTATCACGTATACTTCTTGTTGACAGCCGATGAAGAGGACGACGAAGACCATGAAATGCTTCATGCAGCTTCGTTTATACCCCATAGAATGACACTTCTTTTAGTTTTGCCAACAACCTCAAAGTATGACTTCTTTTAGTGTTGCCAACAATAGAAGCAGTACATATCTATTTGGCTACGGCAATTGTTGTAATAAATTAGTCTGCTATCTCTTTCCGTATCACGCGTTCTATATCATCTGTCAAATTCTCCTATACAGGGTGTTTTTGTAGAGACGGACATATTAACAGAGCATATGCAGAGTTTGATTCTTAATCTAAATCTCATTTATTTTTCTAAGATTATTTTTTTTA